CTTGTTTCTCAACTCTATTGTCCGTGACATGGGATAAAACTTAGTAAGGAATTTTGTGTTCAACTGATCCCAAGTGCGGATAGAGTTTCCGGCTAACGAGTGTAACCATTGAGATGTTTTGTCATTCAGAGAGAACGGGAAAAGCCTTAGACGAATACCATCAATTCCAAGTCTAGTTTCATTAAGAGTTGAGCATATTTGGACGAATTGATGTAAGTGAGTATAAGGGTCTTCTCGCTCATGACCAGAGAATTTCGGCAACATGTTAATGATGCCATAGTGAAGTTTGAAATCTGCTCCATCTTCAAGCGAAGGCAGAACGATGCAATTAGGATGTCCGGTAGATAAGGGAGCAAAAAGATCACGAAGTGGCCTTTCAGGGTTGGCCATTTCAACAGGATGGATCAAGTTGCTACTATCGGAATCTAATTCAAAAAATCGAAATCTATCGGATTCACCTCTACCTTAATGACAACCAAAGCAGTATACCTAATACCAGAGCGTAAAAGCATATACTAAGGTGTTGGTATCGGGTCTTTTGGTGCGTACCCTTTACCAACTTATTATCAAAACTAAGCTAAGTACACAAAGCAAGCACTTCACACTTCTAATTATTGAAAATTAAACCTCTTATGTGAGATTCGAGGTGTTAAGAGTACACGTACATTTTTCCCTCGAATACGGGCAAACGAGCAAATAATATTCAAAATGGCAATATACAGAATGTAAATACCTTAAAAGTGTTTGAAACACGTACCTTGGTCCAAAAAGTTAAAATTCTAAAATTTTCAAAGTTTTCGAAAAATCCAAAAAAATTTGAACTTACTGACTTACTCGCCACGCGCGAGTTGACAATGCCTGGCAGGTCACGTGGCGCGAGCTTCACAGAAATCCGAAATTTTTTTTGAATCTATGAACATAAATAATCATGTTATAATTCTACTGCAGATAGAAATAACAAACATTAAGAATATGAATCTATGAACATAAATAAACTTCCATGGTTTCTCAAAACAAACTAAACACTAGCTTGTTTATCTCTAGAAACAAGTAAGTACTATATATTTCTCCCTTGTTTTGGTTTATTCCATAACATCTATTTATAGGCTTCGGACAACTTCTAATTGGCCAAACAAATATTTTCTTGTTTCGAATTTCTATTACTTCTAGAACAAGAAAACCTGTTTTAATGTTTTTCATCTCTTGTCCTACAAGAAAAAGAACTGCTAAATTCCCATATAAAATACACCTGTATCACTTTTGTAGCACCTTTAAAACCTCTTTACCATTGAGAATGCTCTGATGACTATTCTTTCTTTCAAGATCCTCGAAAGAATCTTAACAAGTTTCAAAGATCAATTCAAAGACTTCTACCAAAGAAAAAAAATTAAAATAAGTTTCAAAAACAAAACCAACACTTGGAAGTTCGAGCCAATTATCCTTAAAACCCTTATTGAATACTTAACATAAATAAAATCTACTAAATCCAAAAATACCCCATGAGATTATGTCAATAATAAAGACAAGAACAATGTTTGTCTGCTCAAGAATGAGGTTAAATAATGTAATGTATTCTTAGATTTAGGTGTTGGTTTTTGGTTCATTTGGTTGGCTAGAAATGATTTTGTTTTAATGCTAACTGATTTAACGGTTTTGCGGGAATTCCTTCAGCAGTTCCTTCCCGTCAAACCTTTAGCAGTACTAGCAAACCCAATCTGCAAAAGCAAGTTAACTCTACTAGCACTACTAAATAAATCTCTATCTCAAATATTATTTATAGACCTTCAATTTGACAACTAAACCAATCCTAGAATTAGCAAAGAGGCAAGTATCGGGTATCAAATCCACTCTTTCCAAGAATTGGGTACTTGGACTACAGACAAGAAGCAACGATGATGAATGATGTCGTTTATGGAAGGATTGATGAATTGTGGAGAGTTGATTGATTGAGAGTATTATGATTGAAGTAGAGAAAGTGCAAACAAAGTAAAGCAAGCAAGAAATATAAAAGGTTGTGAATATGGAGAGAAAAGCGGGGTATTATACTTTGCTTCATAGGTAAGTGTCCAAATTAACTACTCATGCTCTTGTTTACCATGCATCTAACTATAAACTCATAGACAAGCAATAATTAGTTGTGATGAGTTCCCTTGCTCTCGACCCAGGAACTCGACCTCAAGAAGTATTCAAGACCCAGTACCTCTCATCTTGATGTCGTCATGCAAGTAGTGAATCACTTCTCTTTATATAAATTATTAACTATCTTCTCTCTCTCGATGCCAAGATAAATTAAAGGGAGTATGAGGCTCGGAAGTCTCTACACATGCAAAAAGATCTCTCTTTTGTTTATTATGAAGAACAAAGAGCAAAAACTATCCTATATGATCAATCATAAAACAATTACCTTCCTAGCATGGCAAACATGGAACACTTGTAGTAAATTCTTCTACTTACCTAATCCACTTGTAAAACCCCATGAATCGATTAGCTCATGTTGATTGTGGTGATGACCATGGTAGATGTAAGAGTAAAAGACATAATTAAAAGACAAGAATGTAAAGACAAGATATTGAATTGCATAAAAAGTAAAGATATGATCAAAATATGAAGAAATTGAACTTGAAAAGTAAATAGACTTGTATTAAAATAAATGGAACTTCTTGTTCAACATGAAATAATATAAAACCCTAATGATACTTCAATTTAATATCAAAGCATAATGAATTTCGTGGCTCTCCTCTCCTTATATAGGGAGGAGTCCTTCTAACCCTAGAACTCCTTGAAAATTGCTAGAAAATAGTTTGTATTTTTTTATATAACTTGTAGGAAGCTTCTGGAGCTGAAATTTGGTGGAGAGCTTGGCCATGTCACGTGCAAGACTCAGTCAAAATCTTGGGTCCAAATTCCTTCTAGAAATACGAATTCCAAGAAGCCCAATGGGCCCAAAAACTGCCTTCAGAAACTGGGTCTGGCCGGTTTTGATGAGTTTTTTTGTCCTGATTCTATCTCTGTTTTCTGCGATCTACCTTGACAGTCTTGAAGTAGGAAGTGAGAGGTTTCCAATGCCTATTTTTACTTCAAAATCCGAGCTCTCTAACCCTTTTGTTTAATTGTGTCAAGTTGGTTATTCGAAACTGCCTTTTTACCGCATTTTGCTTCCTTTTAACTTTTCCGGACGAAATACACCTACAAACATGTAATTCTAACAACACCAAGCATATCATATCACTTTATATCATAACTTGGGACAAATATATATGAGTTAAGGGGATATATTTACACTTTTGAGCGCTTATCACTAACTCGCCACATCCTTTAGCTAGTATTTTCAAAATTAAGCATATGATTAAGATTATGGAGCTTGGTGTAGAAGACAAGTCAAAAGTGAGACACAAGAAAGTGATTGATTTGAAATGGGAACCTCCTCCTATGAACTGGGTAAAGCTAAATACAGATGGGTCTTCGCCTAGTAATCCAGGTCCAGTTGGGGCAGGTTGTGTTCTAAGTGATGCCAGTGGAAATTGAATTTTTTCGGTTTCACTCCATATCCTCAAGGCTGCAAACAACTATGCATAAATTCTTGCAGTATTCAAGGACTCAAGATCTTATCTCAGTTGCATTGTCAACATATACTGGTCGAAATGGATTCTCAGATGATTGCTAATGCTTTGAATGACAACTCGACATCAATTCATTGACATCAATTCATTGGTCTTTGGTAGGTATAGTTAAGGACATTTTATTGCTAGCTCGGGCAAAATCTGAAGTCAAGTTTATCTGGAAGTATCAAGATACCAATTCAACTGCAGATTGTCTTGCTTCATCTGCAAGACACAGTGGCCAAATTGGACTTCAAATCCTTGTGACACAAACAAATTGCCATACTACCTTCTCATTGCTCTATTTCCTCTTGCTTAAACCTGGTGGAATGGATGGCCCTCTATTTTGTATAATAACTTGTATAAAGACTATTTAGGTGTTATTGGATGTAACTCGCAATGTTATGGAATAAAATTTAGTTTGTTTACCAAAAAATGTAAAAAAATGTACTGTATTCTTCACTAATTTGTTTGTTTATCAAGTCATCCATCTGAAATTAAATGATCATTATTAATTTTGTAACCCAAAGCTTCAAGAATGACCTTAAACCAGAAGTCTCTTCATTCCATCATCTTTAGCTTTATCTATATGCAACATCAACAAACACTTCAATTAACCATAACCAATATCAATCCGATCATATCCAGAACTGGACTATTAATTGAGAATCAATTGAAAAAAAGAAGAAGATTATTTTACCTTGTTGGATTAACAAATTGCTTGTATATATTAGTAGCTTATTGCTGATGCAGCATCATCAAGATTCTCAGATCATTGCTTTCATTTGCATGTTTGTGAATCTTGATGGTGCGACATCTGCAAAGAGCAACTGTACTGTCGATCACCAATCCATGCAACCATGCAACCACCTTGATGTAAATATGTCTGAATAATATATAACTGATGATTTCATTCCATTGGAGAAATAGAAGAAGAAATAATATAGGAATAAGTACAGTATAGAGCTGGAATAGTTATGAAAATAAAGATGCATGCATATAATTTTTTTTTTTTCCAACAACAGCATGAGTTATTGCTGATGTGGTCATCATTATATAAACAAGACACATGATAGACTTTGAACTTAAAGGAATCCAGACTATATGGCCCTCTAAAGCAACCATTTTCTTACTGTAAATTACCCAAAAGTAAAGAAAGCAAAGAAGCATGGAACACAAAAAGACTACTAAAAGAGTAGAGTTATTGCAACAAGGTTATGGGGTAGTCGGTGGGATGTTTCTGATTGAATTCCGGCATGAAAAATGTGAAATTATTGCTATTGTTAGCTAGCTAGCTAGGCTATACCGCGTGGATGGATGCATGATGGGCTGATTGCTTCCTTATGATTTAGTATTGTGGAAAAGATCACAAGATACAGAAACTACATATACAACCCAAATGATTGAAACAAGACCTAACTAATTAAAACAAATTATAAGGATTAGAAATATTCAAAAAGTGGTAAGTGTAGTGGTACTACATTCATCAACCACTTAAAAGGTTACACGTGGCACTAACTTGACCTGATAAAGTACACCGACCTGATGTCGATCCACATCAACTGATCCATCAGCTCAAGTATAATTAGATAAGGAAACATATCAAATTCGATATTGGAAGATATCCTGACAGCATGCAGAATATTTATTGCCTTCTTCGCGCGATTACTAATTGATTTTATTTCCTAATTAATGTACACAAACAATCTTGGGAATCAAAGAAGATCCCAAGATCTCTCCTCCTCATCTCCTATAAAACCTAAGAGCTTTGGTGGCTTGAGAAGGAGTTCAACCCCCCAAGCTCCACTTTGTATCACCACTTTTATAATAAAGATTTATATCTCTCTCTCCGTGGACGTAGGCTCTTGCCGAACCACGTATACAATGGTGTTCTTGTCTTATTTATTTATTGTTTATCATTCATCACACAATGATTTACTAGTTAATATATTAACCTACATCATAGCTCCATCCAAAATTAGGTTAATACATTTGGCGCCGACTTGCGGAAGTTGAGATCTTCTCAATCGAATCCCACCCACCAACCCCACCAAACACCGTTGTTCTCCAAGTATTGATTCTAAAAAATCAACAAATTCTGATCGGTTGAATTACTGCTGATCATCGTCAATTGGTGGCTCAAAGCAATCTTTTCTACAACTAGAAGTGGATCTGTCGAAAAAATGAGATAAGTATAACAGTAACATTTATTTACAATTTTGATAGACGACCTCATGCTTTCACTTTTTATAGTTCTGATCATGTTCATCATACTGATTATCAATAAGTTAGCTTATGTGTTGATCATTCATAACTTTGCTCAAGCATGAATCTGTCTCTTTTGAATCTTATAACCATATGGCCCACTCTTTCTATATGAATCTCTTGTACTGACTAATGGCTGTGAATCCTACGAGCAGAAAAGCACAAGCCATAATAAACAGGTCTATCAGAGACCTCCATAACAGGTCTATCAAAGACCTCTTCAGTTTTCAGGTCATTCAGAGACCTCTACAACAATCAGGTCTATCAAAGATCTCTTCAGTTTTCAGGTCGTTCAGCGACCTCTACAATAATCAGGTCTATCAAAGTCCGCTTTAGTTTTCAGGTATTTCAAAGACCTCTTCGACATGCAGGTCGTTCAGAGACCTTTACAGTGCTCAGGTCTTGCAGTGACCAGCTCTTTCATGTTCAACTCAGGTCTTGTAATGACCAGCTCAGGTCTCGGACCAGCTCTCTCATGTTCAGCTCAGGTCTTGTAACGACCAGCTCAGATCTCGGACCAGCTCTCTCATGTTCAACTCAGGTCTTGTAATGACCAGCTCTCTTATGTTCAGCTCAGGTCATGTAACGACCAGCTCAGGTCTCGGACCAGCTCTCTTATGTTCAGCTCAGGTCTTGTAACGACCAGCTCAGGTCTTGTAGCGACCAGCTCAGGTTTTCCAACGACCAGATCAAGTCTTGTTGCGACCAACTCAGGTCTTCCAGTGACCAGATCAGGTCTTGTACAGACCAGATCAGGTCTTGCAGCGATCAGCTCTCTACATGTTTCTCTAGGATAACGAGCTCGGGTCTACCAGAGACCTCTCCACCACTCAGGTCTTGTCGTTGTCACGACCCTAATTAAATAAAAAGGATTGCAACAGTAATCTAAATAACATTTGCACAAATAGTAAAGATCCTTTAACTTCAAAATCCATAAATAATTCAAACTTTCAACTAAATCACCATAAATTAAACAGAAACTCCAAAAACTTAATAAAAAACTCCAAAGAATATATATTCAACTCCTACTAAGGTACTATCTTCCTCGATTTAACATAAACTATGAACTAAAACAAAAAAGCTATGACCTACTGAGATAATCAAGCTTCACGAACTTCCGGTTCCACACAAGCCTCCTGGTGCTGCTCTCTAGCTATATCAACACGCTGCTCTCCTCCGCCTACGCTCCATAAAGATAGTACCCACGTTCAAAACAAGCAACATGGGTCAGCATAAAGAATGTTGGTGTGAGCAGACAAGATAGGGAACTCTATTCCCAAAAACCAATAAAAACACAGAACTCCGCGGTTCTCTTATACTTAACTGAAACAATCTTAACTGTAAATAAAAATACATTACCCGGAACTGCACCTCCTGTAAGGATAGGTCTCGCCCTACAAGAAATGTTAATTGACCTATCCTCCTGCAAAACAAAATTAGTACAATAACAATATTAAACCTTATAACACCAACTATTCTTTTTAGCTAAACACAAACATTTACAAGTCCCAGAAATCCACAACCTATACCCAATCATTAGTACACCTCCCACATGATGCACTCCACACATTTGCCATCACCACACATCACCAGTGTGCCTTGTCATGGTTAGGAACCGCTACGAGGAAACCAAAACCCAAATGGGTGATCATCTGCAAGTTCTGGCTAGCCTCCCGTACGCCTAATTACATGACTCCTAATAGCTCCCTTGAGCTTTACTATGTGGCGCCCAGACCAACCCCGAAGGCCATGAAGGTCTGTAGGGTCAATTCCGCAGGCTAAGCCGTCTAGGAAATACCCAATTTATCTCTAAGTGTCTACCCACAGGCTATGCCGTCTAGGGTGACTTCCTATTTATCTTAACTTAATTCCAAAGGTGCGGCAAATGTACTAACGCTTGGGCAACTATCAAAATTCAACTACCTATCGAAACTAATAAACAATCAAGTTCCAAGAAAATGAAACACATAAGATTTCCATTTCCTCGTTCCTTTCCAATTACCCGAATCAAAATATACCGTCCATAGTATCGGGCCATTCCAAGGCCTTTAACATTTCAAATTCCAACTTAATCGTATGCCATTGGATTAAGGTAAAGTCTAAAAGTAAATAAACATTTAAGTGTAGACTTATGACAAAAGCTATTTAGCACATATTGTACTGTCAATTCCATATATATCAAATCTCAAGAAGATGAAATACTACATTCAACACTCGGTAAAAAATCATGTATACAGTATGTTGGGCGTGCCTAATATTCAGTGTGATAAAACACATAAATATAAACTAAACAACCCATACTATATCAACTATCAATTTCCCATATTATTTATTTTTAATAAATACCATCAATCTATGATATCAACATGATTGATAACCACTAATGATATAATATTCGATTAATAATGTGCACAAGCTATTTAGCATGATTTATATCTATATATGTAAACCAACAGAAAATTTTGAGAACAACATCACAGTGATGAGTGTCGGACCCACTTCTAATTCATATAACCAAATAATTTCATCTCATGTAGTTCTTTTATATTCTTCCAATCACATGCATTTTTCTTTAAATCAAGCATACAGAAACCAAAGTCAAATCTCTATGTACTACTCATTACCTTTAACCATATATGAACACAGTAACCCAAAACAAAATAGTTTTATATAAAAAAATATAAATCACATCCACTCACCCGTGCCTTCTACCTGCTACTCCCTTTAATCTGCACGAACTCCAATATTCCTTTTTGTCTTTCAAATTCTCAATCTCTGCAACTTTGTTTCCACTCTCTCTCTCTCTACCGCCAACACCAATATCTATTTCTTTCTCTTCCCTTTTTTTTGTTGTTTAGAGAAAACTACTTACTCACCGTATGATCCATGTATATAAATAGAATTCTAGATGACCTAGCTAATACTACTAAATTGGGCCGAATCACAACAAACTTTTTTCCAATTTAACTAAACAACCCATAGTCCACGATTCACTATTATTTAGCATTAAACCCTTGGGTCAGGACTTGCACTTAATTATCCATAAATTTTAAACTGCATGAAATTAAAAGGAGGGGTTTACAATGCTGCAAGGAGAGTTAGCATAACCAACAGATAACCAACTGATAAAGCATCATTTGATAAAAGAAAGGGGAATCAGGGTTAGCCAACAGAGATACATGGCATCATGCTTAGCACACACAACAAGATATGTATAAAAGAGATAGGTGTGTGAGCATGAACTGATGTGAACCACATATAAACAACAGGGTATCATCAAAAGATATAAGAAACATAAACCCTGAAAACATGTATATATGCATCATCCATAGCAAGATATAAAATATAAAAACATGTAAAGCCACATATCATGCTATGTAAGAAAAACTGATACCAACTGAGATAAAGCATAAAAACATGGAAGTAGTTTCTCAACATACACATCAACATATAAAAGCATACCAACTGATACAACATCAACTGATATGAACCAAAACAAACAACTAAACATGAGAGGATATATAGATCTAGCCATCCACACACACAAGTATGTCATCATAAA